AAGTCTTGTGATTGAAACTTTCCAAAGGCGCCTCCTCGAGACTGATAAATCGGCCATGGTGAGATTTGAACCAGATGGTTAGAAAAAGAATGTTCTAATCACTCGGCCACGTGCCCATAATTGTATTGACGTCTATATAAGGAAACATTTGTAATTTATTGACCGAACAGCCAGTGTTACTGCCGGATGAAATATATAAAATCTGACTCTTAAAGCAATTTTTTCAGATAAATAGATTTATCAAATCCAGTAACTGTTATAGCTCTTTCCCTTATTTCTAGGGGTTTCTTTCTTTCCTTAAATTTTGTTCAGATTCGTGTGGAAGGTCAACAACATTTTTGTGCCATTATTTTCTCTTCGAGTTATGTGCTCTAACCATTTCAATGGTGCTGTTCTTGAAAGTCCTCAAGTGGTGTAGCTTTTGTTATTTAGTATTTCTTCCATTTGGCAAACAACTTTTTTAGATATTTCACTCTCTCTCTCTCTCTCTCTCTCTCTCTCTGTCTTTTTCTCTCTCACTCTCTCTTTCTCTCTGTCCCTCTGTCTTTTTCTCTCTCACTCTCTCTTTCTCTATGTCGCTCTGTCTTTTTCTCTCTCACTCTCTCATACTATCTCTCTTTCTCGCCATATCTCTCTTTTTCTCGCTTTCTCTATCTCGTTCTCTCTCTCTCTCTTTCTCACCATTTTATCTCAATCTTTCTTTCTATCTCTATCTCTTTCCATCTCTGTCTCTCTTTCTCACATTCTTTCTCTCAGGCTTTCTTTCTTTCTCTCTTACTCTCCATCTCTTGCTATATCTTTCACTTTCTCTCTCTCTCTCATTTCCCTCATAAACAAGAACATGAAATTGATCTCTCCACAGACGTAGCTCAATAAACCAAGAGGCTTTTATGTCAATATTAGCTGTTTCCTTATATGGAAACATTCGGTATTCATTGACTGAACAGCCAGTGCCATTGTCAGTTGAAATATATAAAATTTGACTCTTAAAGCAATTTTTTTTTAGAAAAATAGGTTTATCAAATCCAGTAACCATTACCCCTCTTTCCGTTATGACTAGGGGTTTCTTTTTTTTCCTTAAATTTTGTCCAGATTTGTGTGGAAGGTCCACAACCTTTTTGTGTCGTTATTTTCTCTTCGAGTTACATGCGTTAACCATTTCAATGGTTGCTGTTCTTGAAAGTCCTCAAGTATTGTGGCTTTTGTTATTTAGTATTTCTTTCATTTCACAAACAACTTTTTTATATATTTCTTTCTCTTCTCTCTCTCTCTCTGTCGCTCTGTCTTTTTCTCTCTCACTCTCTCTTTCTCTCCCTATTTTTCTCTGTCTCTATCTCTCTATCTCGCCATCTCTATTTTTCTTTTTCTCTCTTTCCCTTTCTCTTTCTCTCTTTCTTTCTCACCATTTTATCTCTCTCTTTCTCTCTATCTCTTTCCTTTTCCATCTCTCTTTCTCTTACTCTTTCTCTCACTCGCTCCATCTCTTGCTATATCCCTCACTTTCTCTCATTTCCCTCAGACATAGCTCAATGAACCAAAAGGCTTTTATGTCAATATTAGCTGTTTCCTTATATGGAAACATTCGGTATTCATTGACCGAACAGTCAGTGCTACTGTCAGTTGAAATTTATAAAATGTTACGCTTAAAGCAATTTTTTTTAGCAAAATAGGTTTATCAAATCCAGTAACTTTTATAGATCTTTCCATTATTTCTAGGGGTTTCTTTCTTTCCTTAAATTTTGTTCAGATTCGTGTGGAAGGTCAACAACATTTTTGTGCCATTATTTTCTCTTCGAGTTACGTGCTCTAACCATTTCAATGGTTGCTGTTCTTGAAAGTCCTCAAGTGGTGTGGCTTTTTTATTTGGTATTTCTTTCATTGCGCAATTTTTATATATTTATCTCTCTCTCTCTCTATCTGTCTTTTTCTCTCTTACTCTCTCTTTCTGAATCTCTCTTTATCTCTCTTTCTCTACCTCTCTTTCTCTACCTCTCTTTCTCTACCTCTCTCTCTCTTTCTCTCTCTTGTCCTCTATCTCTTTCCCTTTATTTTATATCTCTCTCTTTCTTTCTGTTGTGACCATGTAAATGGTTAAAGAAATAACAAAAAAAAGTGTTACAGATATATATATATATTAAACAGTAAGTACAATAGAAGAGTATTACACGACTAGTGAGTGTGTGACCTAGCGTCCAATTTGTTTGACTTTTCTCCCAAGTCCTTCACTCCTACTAATCTTATAGTAGGTGGAAGAGTCCAACATAAATCATTTTTTATCTCTTTCTCTTTCCTTCTCTATCTCTCTTTCTTTCTCCCTCTCTTTCTCTCTCTATCTCTTGCTATTTCTCCCTTTCTCTCGTTTCCCTCATACACAAGAAAATGTAGCTGATCTCTGCGCAGAGATAGCTCAATGAACCGATAGGCTTATAACTCTCAGTACTCTCTAAAACACAAGTGAGTATCATTTCCAGAACACCGGTCAGACCCTGAGCTTTTTTACCGTCACAATAAGCTAGTTTCCATGCTTTGAACATCTATTCCAGACCTCAAGTGGAACTCATATAAATGAGGCATGAAAAATATGACCGGCTCCATGGATCAAGACAAAAAGTATCGAACTATTTCTGGCATGCTTTATATTTCAAGTCAGATTTAAAAAAAAGAAAAAAAGAAGAAGAAAAAGGAGTGGTGTGGAGTTGCTAAGCCCCCATTCTCCCACTTTGATAGAGTTCAAAATCGTTTATGTGGTCTTATAGGGGACGTCTTCTTTTGCACTCTACAGCCTCTTTCCCCACAGGTGTAAAGTCGCAAGACTATGGCTATTTCCATGGCAAATGAGCGCTACCCTCTAATATCACAAATTCACACATTTACAGCTAGTACTAAACGTGCTACAACAAATGTATAGAAGCACAATCATTTCTTCTGTATTCCATTTGTAAGGAGGAAATTCCACTCGTTCGACTTTTTCCCGAGAACTGCTACTCTGTTGAACAAACTCCCGCGAGGATGCTTCATAGAACGCCAAAATTTTAATCCCTTCAAGTCAAAGGTCAGTCTCTATTTATCCTCCCTATTCTCATAGCTGTCACTTCCTTCTACATCCTCTTTCATTCATATCACGCACCTCATTCAGTGGTCCTCTACCTTGAGGGGCTCTCGAGTCTTGTATTGGGTCAACTTTAGTATGATAAATGTAGTTTCCGTTCTTACTGTTTCCCTTTCTTCTCGCTTTATCTTCCTTTTCTTTATCTTTTTTTTCTCGTTTTTATTCTGACGGATTGTTTAGTTTCTTTGTAATTTCCTTCCTCAGTAAAGCTGACTTCTATCGTCTTGACTGTCATACAGTTGAGGGTACAAACATTTCCTTTGTCAGAATGATATGCTTGACATCGTTCTGGGACTTTCAGATCCTCTTTTTCTTGAAAAGAAATGTGACCAGTTCTGACAGACCCGAGATGACAAGGAAGAGCACATTAAATGAAACACAGAAAGAAAAAAAAAACTTAAACTAGAGGAACGAATAATGAATGAAACGGAAAAAAAATGTGTGGAATGAATGAAGAGAAAAATGTTAAGAAAGAAGGAAGAGAAAAAGAATGAATGAAAAGAAAAAAAAGATTGCGTGTGAAGATAGGGGAGAGAACTCAGCGAAAAATAGAAGAGACATAAAATAGTCTAAGGAAGAAAAAGAGAGAAATGTCAGAAAATGTAAAGAAAGAAAAATGATTAAATAAAAGAAAGTAGAAAATAACGAAGTTTCTTTCTTTCTGTTTTCTTTTTTACTTTCTTTAAAAAAAAAGAAAAAGAAAAAAGATGTACAACAACAAAAATCTTAAAAAAAGAGAAAAAGACAACAGAACGAAAAACGATATTCAGAGAATGCAATGATAGAGTGAAATAAAGAAGATCATAAAAGAAAAGAAGAGAAAGTGAAATAATGATCAAAAGAAAGACAAAAAGAAAAAATATAAGAAAGTAAGACGAAAAAGAGGGTCTTGAGCAAAAGAAAAGAAAGAAACAAATGAAAAGGGAATCGAGAAAGAAAGAAAGAAAGAAAGAAAGAAATAAGGAGGAAAAATTGCGATAAGAAACAGAAATACAATAAAAAAAACTGAAAGTAAAACGAAGGAAAGAGGGAAAAGAAAGAAAAAAAAGAATATAATAAAATGCATTGAAAGAACGAAATAAAGAAGAGACTAATGGAAAAGAAAATGGCAACAATTAAGTAGAGAAAGACAAAAATGTTCAAAAAAAAAAGAAAAAAAAAGAATAGTGAACCGCAAAAAAGAAAAAATACATAATACGAAACTAAGAGTAAAAAAGAGAGAAATCCTAAGACGAAACAAATAAAAACAAAATTGCGAAATAAATAAATAAAGCAAGAAAAACAATCTCAAAAAAAGAAAAGATCTGCGCAATAAAAAAAAACTAAGAGAAAAAAAAGAGTGAAATACAAAACAAAGAAAACAGCAAAGAAAAAATAGAAAATAAAAGACAGAAAAATAAAAATGGAAAAAACAAGTTCATCAGAAAAGAAATAATAAAAAAAAAACAGGTTCATCAGAAAAAATCAAACATAAAAAAAACTGGATTCATTTCAAGCGTCTAACTTATAAGATCGCAAGTATCAAATACGAAGCTACGATAATGTGTAAAAGACAAAAATATGGTAATAAAACAAAAACAGGAAGTACGCATGCGCGTACAGAGACACATCCGCTGACCCAATCAGATACACATATGGCAGAAACGCCATTTTGTAAATGTCTCTAAAAATTCAGCAAATTATGAATAAATAGATGCTTACCATAATTTTGGGGCCTTGAACATGAATAATTTTTAATTTTTATTATAGATTTCATCATCATGTATGTGCTATGTTCCTTTAGGATTAAGGCGATAATGTTTGTCCACATCTTCCTGTCCCTTGTCGCTCTAAGCAACGTTTCACATTTTACTATCACTCCTTGTCCTGGCTTTGCTATCCGTTCGCACAAAACCACCAGGTAAAGTTGTTCGCTGTTTCGTTTCCTCTTCCCGCAATATATGGTAAGAGTGTTTAATTTTCCAAGTCGCCTGTCCTTATAATTTCAACTGTCTTTTTAAAAAAACTTTTTAAGTACGTGTGTCTTTCTAATTCATATTTTCTTTACAACTTTCTTGTTGCTCACGTGTTTTGTCCATGAATTTACATTTTTTTTTAACCCTAACCCTAAGTCTTTATATTCCTGTTGTATCACTTTATACGTTATTTTTAGTGGATACTCATATTCGAGTAGACGCTTCGATTATTTATTAAACATTATATTTATTTATTATCATCTACCAGCCTGAATATTCGAGAAATCTTATTAAATAAAAACATGCACTCTCCGGCAAGATTCGGACCTGCGTCTCCCCCGCCCCTGGGTGGAGGGAACCGTCGTTAGATCCGACGTGCTTTAACTGACTCAGCTACGAAGAACATTCTTAAGCAAGGCTGAATAGTCTCTTTAAGCAAAATCCTACTCGTCATAGTATCTTGAAATGTTCGTATCTAATCAATTTCGTATCCTAGCGTAAACAAAGCAATTTTTAAACATCCCCATCAGTACAAATCCACAAATCTCCAGTCAAGAAAATACTTATACGAACCCAAGTAAAAATTTTTTAAAAAAGCTTAATCGAAGCATTTTTTCAGTCGTGTTTACTGTAACTTGTATAGAAGAGGGATTGCTGCCCAAAATATGCAATATATATATATATATATATATATATATATATATATATATATATATATATATATATATATATTACATGAATCATTCATACAAAAACAGATATAGAAGTTAATGATATAAATGTTTTATGTAATGTAAATTGAATTGCACCACATACTTGATATTAAAATAACTGATCCAACGTGCAACTTTTGGATAATAACTGTGACATTCTTGTATTTATTGAACAATTTAGTTCATGCCACATTGACTGAAAAACCTACCAGTACAAAGGAATTCTCCCATTACCATATTAGTACAAAAAAAATCTTGAAATTTAAAAATTCAACCTCAGCGTTGCGACCGCACGCTCCAAAAAATATTTCTTACAATTAACAAAAACACATTTCTAAAAACATTTTTCGGATTACATCTATATTTTCGTTGTCTTGTTATTACCGAGAAGAAAAAACAAAAACAAATCTATTTACATACCTGATGATGTCTGTAGGAACAGATGAAAGCTTGTAAAAAACTAAAAAATAAGACCTTATGCAACTGGAATTTATAAACAGGGATCATAACATTCACATGTTCGGGGTTAATGTACTTTATTAAATTTGTTTGCGAAGATGTATTCTCCCCATTTAAATCATTAACTTCTATATCTGTTTTTTGTATGAATGATTCATGTAATGTAAATTGAACTGCATCACATACTTGATATATATATATATATATATATATATATATATATATATATATATATGAAATGGACAAAGTCTGAAAATTATTTTAAGATATTTTATTGTTATAAGTTATTTATATAGACACAAATATTAAGTAAATGCTCTGTTTATAATAAACAGTATTAACAACATTTACCGGCCTGAACGTCCGAGAAATTTTCATACAAAATATGTGTCCTCTGACAGAAATCGAACCTGCATCCTATACGGAACCATCATCTACCCTGATGTACTATGACAGTTATCTACAGAGGAGCATCTGGTTATCGATGTCGATTTTACTGCTTTTAAATTTCGTAGTGTGTAACGTCATTTGTTTACGTTTAGATACGCTTCGAGTGGATAAAATTGTTCGAGGGAAATCATGGAAAATTGTACTTTAAAAGCAGTAGAAATCCAACTTGCTAATCAGACGCTCCTGAATATATATGAAGAAATATAGTCTTAAGATGTGCTATATTTATGGGATAAAGTGCTCAATATCAGAGATAGAGCGTGTAAGTATAAAAGTGAATATAGAAGTCAACACTTAGAGGCGACAGTCTGTTTCATGCTATATGCAATCGTCCTTGCATATAGCATGAAACAGACTGTCGCCCTATGTTGACTTCTATGTTCACTATATATATATATATATATATATATATATATATAGGTGAACATTGAAGTCAACACTCAGAGGCGACAGACTGTTTCAAGCTAAATGCAATATTGCTTTAAGCTTTAAACAGTCTGTCGACTCTGAGTGTCGTCTTCAATGTTCACTTTTATATTTACATCCACTCTATTCCTAATACTGAGCACTTTATTCCATAAATATACCTTACCTTAAAATTATATTTATTCACACACACACACACACACACACACACACACACACACACACACACACACGTATATATATATATATATATATATATATATATATATATATATATATATATACTAGCAGCATGATCCGGCGTTGCCCGTGCTTGATTCAAAAATCGTACGACTCATACAGCAATCGCTATCACTTGACTTAAAATATTTTTGCCCTTCCTTGCCTTTAAAGGAGTGCCCTTTGCCGTGATGATGTTGCTACATGCCTTACTTCTTGCCTATCTCACACTGCGAATTTTTTCGAGGCTCTATACTAATCATTAAAACTGTTACGAAAAAAGAACTAAACAAAATGAACACAAAACGATCAGCTTTAAAAAAGGACTCGTAACTGGAAAAACCGAATGAAAAAAGAATGTTAACAACAAATACTTTTTCACACCCAACCCAGTTCTGCGGAATCAGAATCAACGTTGAGTTTAAGCAAGCGAATGAGCCAATTGGAGTAAAGTGACATGCAAGTTTAAATTTTCCCCACTTGTGACGAATGCAGCTATCGATATTTTTTGCACGCTAGCATGCTAGTTAACATTCGTGTCAGTCAGCTGTTGGCTCTCTCACACTGGCCATTAGAATCTTCCTGCCTATTTGTTGCAGCCGATTATTTGCTCTCACGTTGGCCAATGCCCGCAAACTACATGAAAACTGCCGTAGAAGCATGAAAAAATCGATTATTTCCACTATCGATGGGAGTTGGGAAATGCAATGTCGGTCATGGCCTTCCCACTAACTTGGAGCATGCGCGTGTAAATTTTGGTGCAAATCCGTCGAAAATTGTTACACACACACACACACACACACATCCTGCCTTTTATAGATAGAGATATATATGATTGTATATTTGGGTAGGAAACCCTACTTCCATACACGTTTTATTTAAGACGGCTGACAAGCTTCCGGGATTAAACTTTTTATTCAATTTTTCTTGCCTTTGTACGGAACATAAAGTGTGTAAAAACTGTCCAAATGTTCTCTATATATGCGTGTAAACTATTGAATGATGAAGGAAGATTTATTTAGTCATTCAATGTTTTAATAGTCGCACATGGCTTCGTCGCGTAAACATTTCTGACAGCTGTGAATGTCGTCTGGGGACATTTTATGTCCGCAAAAATAGATATTTACTAATATTAGCGTAATATGTCATGTATCAATTAATTACGCAAGCAGCGAGGACTGAACTCGACACTCTAGCACCGTTTTGTGAATCACCGTTCTAACGCAGGCACCTCTATTAATAAACATAGTTATATTTATATATCAAATATTTGTATTTACGGAGTACCACTAAAATTCGTGCACAGTTTTGATAATGAAAGCAATAAAATGTTACCAGCAGGTTTTTTTTTTATTTAGTCAGGTAAGCATCTGATTAAAATTAAACTTTCAGTACTTATTCATTTATGAATAAATTTTATATTGAATTGTATATTACATAAGAAATTACTGTAGAAATATGTTTTAACCTCTCACACATTTCGGTATATCGTGAGTACTGTTAAATCCAGTTCGAGGAGTGATTTTTCTTTATATAATCATAAACTAAATGTTTATGATTATATGAAATGGACGTTATCCGACAATTATTTTTTAAGACATTTTTTTAATGTTTATACGTTCTTTTTATAGATACAAATATTTAAGTAAATGCTCTGTTTATAATAAACAGTATTAATAATATTTACCGGACTGAATCTCCGAGAAATTTTCATAGAAAATATGCGTCCTCCGACAGGAATCGAACCTGTATCCTATACAGAACCGTGATATAGCCTAACGTGCTTTAACCGATTGAACCACAGAGGAGCGTTTCGGTTAACAAGGTCGATTTTACTGTTTTTAAACTACAATTCTCCATGATTTTCTCTCGTACATTCATATCTGCTCGATGCTTATCCAAATGTAAACAAATAACGTCACATATTATGAAATGGACAAAGTCCGACAATTAGGCTATATGACGGTTCCTTATAGGATACAGGTTCAATTTCTGTCGGAGGAACAAGGTATTGAAATCACACTCTTTGGGTCCTGTCACTGGATCTAACTAATGCCTTTACCCACAGTACTATGTGTTCTTGAGAGTATGAGTTCAATACCTGGTTAACGCAGTGGAGAACTTGGAGAGGGGAATTAACAGGAGATAACTGATAACTGACATCCATTAGATATGAAACGTGGAACTAGAACAGTCTGTTCCAGCAAGCGAAATAAAGGGTTCAGTTCGACATTCCAACCACCTGAAGAAGACCGGACGTTACAATGACCGAAATGTTGTGATAAATATAGCAACAAAGATGAGGACGATAGTCCGAACAATGTACATAGTGTACATAATACCTCATTTCAGAAATATAGACAGATACTGAAAAAATTGCCATTTTTG